CGTAAACTAGTTTGAAGTCATGGCCCCGTAAACTAGTTTGAAGTCATGGCCCCATGTTCTAGTTTGAGGTCATGTCCCCTTATTCTAGTTTGAGGGTTTGAGGTCATTTCCCCATGTTCTAGTTTGAGGTCAGGTCCCCGTATTCTAGTTTGAGTCATGGCCCCGTGTTTAGTTTGAGGTCATGGCCCCGTGTTCTAGTTTGAGGTCATGGCCCCGTGTTCTAGTTTGAGGTCATGGCCCCGTATTCTAGTTTTGAGGTCATGGCCCCGTGTTCTAGTTTGAGGTCATGGCCCCGTATTCTAGTTTGAGGTCATGTCCCCGTGTTCTAGTTTGAAGTCATGGCCCCATGTTCTAGTTTGAGGTCATGTTCCCATATTCTAGTTTGAAGTAATTTCCCATGTTCTAGTTTGAGGTCATGTCCCCATGTTCTAGTATGAAATCATCTCCCCATGTTCTCATCTTAGTTTCATATTGAAAATACTGCCCTCCTGAACCTAGTTTGATCATTTGAGGTCATGTTCCCGTATTCTAGTTTGAGGTCATGTCCCCCACATTCTAGCTTGAGTTCATGTCCCCACATTCTAGCTTGTGTTCATGTCCCCACGTTCTAGCTTGTGTTCATGTCCCCACGTTCTAGCTTGAGGTCATGTCCTGTGTTCTAGTCTTAGGTCATGTCCCTGTGTTCTAGTTTGAGGTAATTTCCCCATGTTCTAGTTTGAGGTCATGTCCCCGTGTCCTAGCTTGAGGTCATGTCCCGTGTTCAAGTTTTAGGTCATGTCCCCGTGTTCTAGTCAGAAATCATGTCCCCATGTTCTAGTTTGAGGTCATATCTCCATGTTCGAGTTTGAGGTAATGTCCCCATGTTCTACTCTGAGATCATCTCCCTATATTCTAGTTGAGGGTTTTAGGACATGTCTCCATGTTCTAGCTTGAGGTCATTTCCCTGTGTTCTAGTTTGAGTTCATGTCCCTGTGTTGTAGTTTGTGCTCATGTACCCCATGTTCGAGCTGGAGGTCATTTCCCCATGTTCCAGCCTGAGGTCATTTCCCCATGTTCCAGCCTGAGGTCATGTACCCATGTTCTAGTTTGAGGTCATGTCCTCTATTTTCAATCTTTGCTTCTTTTTTAAAATACTGCCCTCTTGAACCTTATTCACACCCTTACCTCAAGTTCAGATCTCAGTCCAGAAGAAGGGGGACCCTTGCAACCCTCAAAGCGCTTTGGAGTTTTCTTGTTGATTGCAAATAAAACTTTATTCTGGACTTCTATCCTCCACCCTTGCTCCATTTTTCCATAAGTATCACCTATAATGTCCTTAGGCCTAGTAGAGCTTTCCTCCACATGATACTTACCACAAGAGATAACAGGCTAAGCAGTACAACTCTTCTCATCCTTACAATTGTATGAAGCAACAAAAACTTAACGGGGTTGCTAACCCTTCCCCACTCTATGTATGTAACACTGGAAAACATTTTTGGCTTTGGATATACTTTAATATAGAGGCAGTTATTTTCTGGGCTCTGCCGGCACTCTGGAGAATAAGGCCTTCTTTTTAAAGCTGAACTCCAGGAACATAAAAGATTTACCCCTGCAGTGGGCCCTCCTCCTCATTGCAAGGGTTAACTGTTGTTTTTTTCCTAGGCTATGACCAATAAGGTGATACACTTACCTTATTCCTCAGTCTTGCCAACTTCCTCCTCTTCGTGCCATTGGTCTCTCTGAAACCTTCATTTGCAGCTTACTGACGTCATCTCGTACAATGCAGCACTAGCAGTCCTGCATTGTACAGGTAGGACGCCACCCACATTCCAGAGCATCTGACATTAAAAGAGAACTCCTGCCACCAAGGGAGCAAGGGATAACGTCAGTATATCATCTTATTCATCATCCCCTAGGCATAACAAGCAAGGAGGGTGCACCCACTGCAAGGGTAAATCTTTTTGGTTGGTCTTGGGTTCAGACTTAATTGGAGTTTATAATATTGCTAGTTTCTATATTAATACGCAGATTATTTTGTCAGCCCAATAAATGGCAGCTTTCACTATGTGAGGCGGAGACAGGTACTCTTTAAAGGGTCAGCCCCAACCATAACGGATTTTCCAGATCTATGCAGCAGCCAGTTCACTCACTCTCTCTATGTAATATGTCTCTCCAATAGCCAGATCCCTACAAAGTTCCCAGTTCTGCCATAATTTTGGGGGTCTCACTCTCCTTATTGTAATTTACATTTATTTCCAGATATAAAGAATGTAGAAGCAGAAGTGAGACTCTGTGCTGAGGCAGAATCAGGATATCTGGTAGGGACATCTTGCTACTGGAGCTGATATTGTGATATTAAAAAAGCCACCCTATAAATTAAAAAAGGGATTTTTTTGTACTCACCATAAAATTATTTTCTCATTGAAGGACACAGCGGAGAACTAGATCCTGACCATTGGGTTATGGCGCCACCTTCTGGAGTAGCACACTAGGCACAAAAAAAACAGAAACACAGCCTAGGGGCCACACCTGATGGTGGCCAAACCCCCTAACAACTATGACAGGGGTATTGAATTAAAATTCAAGGAGATCCAGTTGCCACAATTTTCTTCTAGCCAAGGTCTGAAACTCAAGTATGTGCTATTAGAGTGCTCCTTACCTGATGTGTCCCCATCAGAGTGCCCCTTTACATCAGGTGCCCCCATCAGAGTGCCCCCTTACATGATGTATCTCCATCAGAGCGCCCCTTTACATCAGGTGTCTCCATCAGAGCGCCCCTTTACATCAGGTGTCCCCATCAGATTGCCCCTTTACAGCAGGTGTCCCCATCAGAGTGCCCCTTTACATCAGGTGTCCCCATCAGAGTGCCCCCTTACATCAGGTGTCCCCATCAGAGTGCCCCTTTACATCAGGTGTCCCCATCAGAGTGCCCCTTTACATCAGGTGTCCCCATCAGAGTGCCCCTTTACATCAGGTGTCCCCATCAGAGTGCCCCTTTACATCAGGTGTCCCCATCAGCGTGCCCCTGTACATCAGGTGCCCCCATCAGCGTGCCCCTTTACATCAGGTATCCCCATCAGAATATCCTTATAGACGAGTTGTGACTCATCCAGGGCTGCTGTGTGCCCCCCCCCCCCCCCCCCCCAGGAAAAAAAAAACACAGTTTACTATGCTTCAGTTATGAATGAACACAGTGAGTGATCAGTACCGATCAGTCATTGTGTTCACTCAGGAAAGAAAATGTGATATACTTACCGGGCCCTTCCCCCACTCTTCATTCTGCAGGATCCTCCTATTGTGTGCTTGCAGCTGCTGGTGGGAAGAAGAGGAGGAGGTGGGAGGCACACAGGGGGGGTCTGTGCAGCAGGAGCAAATGCATGGTGCACAGGGAGGGCGATGGGTGAAATGGGGGGGCAATTACTGGAAGCGATCCCCGGTATGGCTCGCTCTGTAGCAGCTGAAAGTCAGTTTTCAGCTACTGCAGTAAGCCATACAGGGGATCGGTTCCAGTAATTGCCCCCCCCCCCCCCCTGCTGTGCCGATCACCCTCCCTGCCCACATCGAATCCACCCAGCTGCCTGGGCCCCGCTGCTGGCCTGAACCCTGTACAGGAGGACTGGTGGTGCCCCCTTATCCACGGCCCTGGACCCATCAGCGTACACCTAAAGGGTTGTAAAGTCCATCAATGTTAACAGTGTACTAGACTCATATGTCCCTGTAGGAAGGTAGGCAGGGCACAGGAACTGGGAGAAGAAGCTTGGTGCAGGGGGCGGGAGCTGGGCAGAGAAGCTTGCTGCAAGGGGTGGGAGCTTGGCAGAGAAGCTTGCTGCAGGGGGCGGGAGCTGGGCAGAGAAGCTTGCTGCAGGGGGCGGGAGCTGGGCAGAGAAGCTCGCTGCAGGGGGCGGGAGCTGGGCAGAGAAGCTCGCTGCAGGGGGCAGGAGCTGGGCAGCAGAAGCTCGCTGCAGGGGGCGGGAGCTGGGAAGAGAAGCTCGCTGCAGGGGGCGGGAGCTGGGCAGAGAAGCTTGCTGCAGGGGGCGGGAGCTGGGCAGAGAAGCTTGCTGCAGGGGGCGGGAGCTGGGCAGAAAAGCTTGCTGCAGGGGGCAGGAGCTTGTTTATAGAAGCTTGATGCAGGGGGCGGGAGCTGGGTAGAGAAGCTTGCTGCAGGGGCGGGAGCTGGGGCAGAAAAGCTTGCTGCAGGGGGCAGGAGGGAGCTGGGCAGAGAAGCTTGCTGCAGGGGCGGGAGCTGGGCAGAAAAGCTTGCTGCAGGGGGCGGGAGCTGAAAAGAAAAGCTTGCTGCAGGGGGCAGGAGCTTTGCATAGAAGCTTGATGCAGGGGGCAGGAGCTGGGCAGAGAAGCTTGCTAGGGGTGCAGGGAATACACGTGACATCATTGGCTGCTAGGATGATGGCGGTCCTAGGAACCAATGACTGCTGAGCAGCGGAGATCCAGGTGCAGCCTGGCGTGCTGAAGGTCCAGACTGGAGTGTCAATTGGTCCCTGTCCAGACCACGGTCCACCATTTAATGAAGGCTGAACTAAGCTGTGTTTCTGGGGGGTTTTTTTGTGCCTTGTGTCCTATTCCTGAAGGTGGCGCCATAACCCAATGGTCAGAGATCAAGATGTGTCCTTCAAAGAAGGAGAAATCCCTTTTAGGTGCACTGAGTCTTTACAGGGACAGCCACCTTAAATCTGATTTTGCTGGACCACATGGCTCCACCTCCCAATAAAATATGACTTCTGAGCGGACTGACCCTTTAAGTGATAGGCACAGTGTCCTGATATAGAAGTAGGTTTGCAGCTGCATCAGGGGACTTCATTGGTTGTTGAGAAACAAATCTTTGCAACACTGAACAACAATGAAAATACTTTCTTGAAACATAAGTGCTTAAAGCTTCTAAAAAGAGAAATATATATATATATACTGTATATATATATAACAAAATACCATATACAGCCTTTTATATAGCAGAACAAAGCACCACATTGATACTGCACACAAAGACCAATAAATAGGTGTTGGCATTAGGAGTCCTCGGGGCGGAAGGCTTGGCTCGTGTCCTCGGGGTGTACCGGCGTGATCCTTGTGCTCAGCAGCGTGTAGATATATGGCCAGATTTTGTTGGTCTCTGTCCCTGAGAAGGTGTGCAGGATGCCTTTACCCCTATGAACAACAGAGATTGTGTTAGGAGAATGCTGGGCCAGATACTAGAAGAGAGGGAGAGGTTGGGATTCCGGATCAAAAGGCAGCTCCCCGTCACCTAGAGGGTCCTCTGGGGGTCTCCAGAATTGCGTCAGTAAATGTAGGAAGGAGGAAAACACAAAATTACTAGTAAGAGTCCAATAAATTGGAAAAGAAGCCAACACGCTTCAGGGGCTCAAACGTCCTTCACCAGGCCTGGGAATAAAACACCATAAAATAGTGTAAGGGCTCATTCACACGAGTAGCTCTGCAGTGGATCGCTTTTCAGAAATCAGTAGAGCAGCGACTGCCAGGAATTGAGGAGGGAATGCTGCCACCACCTCCCAAACATTTTTTTTTTTTTTTTTTTTTTTTTTTTTTTTTTAATATGCACCAGGGGCGGACTGACAACTCATGGGGCCCCCGGGCAATAGGGGATCAGGGGGCCCCTGTGTCCTTGCCCACACTTAAAACACACCCAAAAAAGCCTATAAAAGGTACCAGGGGCATTTCATGGGGCCCCCTACTGACCCCAGGCCCTCGGGCAGTGCCGAGTGCTCAAATGGTCAGTCCGCCCCTGGTATGCACCACGCTCAGTAGCGTGTAGATATATGGCCACAATGTGTTGGTCTCTGCCCCTGAGAAGGTGTGCAGGATGTAGTTGGGGTATGGCCCCAGTCACTTGAATGCAATGCAATGGAAGCCCGCTGAACGCAAAAAGAAGTATAAATTTTTTACACAGCTGCGGCATACAATATATACAACTCTGAGTGGCTGCATGCTGTCTTTTAGGCTCCATGTACACTGCAGCTGATAAAATCACGTTTAGGAGCTTTTCTGCGTTTTTTTTCAGCAGCCCCTGAACTCTCCCTAATGTTCTCCTGTGTCCGTGTACACATAGGCAGTTTACAGGCAGTTGAGTTTACAGTCATTTTTTTTTTAACGCACCAAACTTGCGTTCAGGAGTAGATTTTATCAGCGTTTCAAACGCCAAATGCTTGTAAACGCGTGTTTGCGTTTGAAATTTTTTTCAAATGTACACTGTCATTTACAGCCAGTTGAGTTTACAGTCTTTTTTTTTAACGCAGAAAACTTGCGTTCAGGAGTAGATTTTATCAGAGTTCCAAACCCTGCTAAACGTGGCTAACCGCATTTATAAGCGTTTGCAGTTTAAATTTTTTTCAACTGTCCAGAGCCTTTTTTCATCATGAAAAATGCACGCAAAATGTTTTCCTGGTACACTATACTTTGAGGTTTCGCATTAAAGAAAATATGTTAGACACGGCTGCAATGATTTCTGCACAGAAATGAGCCGGAACCCATCCAAACACCACAAAAAAAAAAAAACACAGCTAATCTCAACAAATACTGCTCTCTCTGCTTCTGCTCTCTCTATGTCTCTCAATATGTCTGAAACAGCTATTTTTTTTACTGTTTTCAGTGCATTCTGGTCTCCTGAGGTTATCTGTAAAAAACACTTCTAAATGCAAACGCTCATAAACGCGGTATGCAAACGTGGCTAAACTAACGTTTTTTTTAACCTACATTTTCCAGTAGTCAGTTTCCATCGTTCAGAAGTGTCCCGTGTACATGGAGCCTTAGATGGGTGACCAGGGGGTGGTAGAACTAGACATATGCGTTTCTTTTTTGTTCCGAATTGAAATTCTGACACATTATTATTACTACATCGAGTTTATATAGCGCCAGAGGGTTTGCTCAGCGCTGTACAATAGGGGGGGACAATACATGAAACAGTACAGCAACTACAAACAGCACACGAGGGGTTAGAGGGCCCTACTCTTTCCAGCTTACAATCTAGGAGGGGGGGGTAGTGGTACAGGAGGAAGTGGCTGTGGGGGATGGAGTGGTAGGAGGAATGAAGGAGAACGGCTGTTAGGTGAGAGTGGGGTAGGCTTCCCTGAAGAGATGGGTTTTAAGGGTGCGCCTGAAGGTGAGGAGGGAAGGCGACAATCTGATGGATTGGGGTAGAGAGTTCCAGAGGATGGGGGAGGACCTGGAGAAGTCTTGCGTGGGAGGAGGAGACCAGGGAGCAAGACAGAAGGAGGTCCTGAGAGGAGCGAAGGGTACGGGTTGGGTGATACTTGGGAATCAGGTTGGTGAGGTAGTTAGGGGCAGTGTTGTGAATGGCTTTGTAGGTCAGAGTTAGCAGTTTGAATTTGATGCGTTGGGCAATCGGGAGCCAGTGAAGGGATTGGCAGAGGTGGAGCGGTTGGTGAGGTGGATGAGTCTAGCCGCTGAGTTCAGGATGGTCTGAAGCGGGGAGAGCCTGCGCTGGGGCAGGCCGGTGAGAAGGGAGTTGCAGTAGTCAAGGCGTGAGACATTTTTTGTTATTCGGAGATTTGGATGTATCCGAATTTCCAAATTACAATAGCAAAAAATTTAAACGAACCTGAAATAACAACACAAAAGTTTGTCTGAAATTCATATCGAATTCGAATAGCAAAAACAAGAGAATAGAATAAGATGAAAAAAAAAAGTCTTACGAAATTCAAATTCGATTAGATATAAAAAAGAATAGAATAGCAAAAACAATAGATTAGAATATAATGGAATAAAAGATAAAAAAATATAACCATCTTCTGAAATTCTAATTTCGAATAGAATAGATTAGAATAGAGTAGCAAAAAGAACAGAATAAAATAGAATGGTAGCCAAAGAATAGAATAAAACAAAGAATATAACCATGTTCCAAAATTCGAATTTCAAACGGAATAGATTCGAATATAAAAGAATAGAAAATACAATACAAAACAAAAGAATAGAAAAAAAAAACAATAGACTAGAAAGACTATAATTGTCTTCTGAAATTTGAAACAGAATAAATTTGAGTTTGAATAGAATAGATTGAAACAGAAAATCAAAGAATAAAATAGAAAGAATATACCCATCTTTCGAAATTTGAATTTCAAATAGAAGAAATTCAAATTCGAAATGCCGATTTGAATTTTCCAAATTTGGTCAAATTGAATTCAATTCGACCAAATTCAGAAAATTTAAATTTGAATGAAACAAAAACTAAACAAATTCCAAAAACGAATTAAATGATTTAAACAAATTGAATTAAACAAAATTATTTAAATAACAAATCGAAATGAAATGAAACAAAACAATTTTCTCTCACTCTGCACCTGCCGAGGCAGAACTGTGGCTCAATCACTTTTTTTGCGACCCTTGTGAATGAGGCCTAAGAGATATACTGTATATAAGAACTCTTCCTTAAAATGTTCTAATAATCAATATCAAATGGACATCAAAGGGAATGTCGTAAACAACATGAAAAAATAAAGCTGAACGCCAAAAACTGTTTTTGTATATTAGTAAAGTAAAAATAAATTACCACTAATAAAATAGCTGGCTGCTTGGTGAATTACTTACTTTCAGTCAGGCTGCATTCTGCTGTCAGCAGCAAACAAGGCACTCTGTGATTGGAGGAGGATGAGACTGCAACATTCAACCGCACCTCCTCCAATCACAGAATGCCTTGTATTCTGTAAAAAAGGGTGCAAGGCTTTCTCTCTAATGGAGGATGGGGTACAGCAAGCACTCTACTGTCCGTGCCTAACAAGACATTCTGTGATTGAAGGGGAGAATGGTGACTTTCATACATACCTCCTCCAATAAATGAATGTGAAAAGAATGCAAGGCCTTTTCTGAATGGAAAATGGGGTACAGCGAGTGACCCACTGTGATATGGATACTATACAGCCAGAACTGGAAATATCAGGGCCGAAAAAAAATCTGGGCTGAGGTATGAGACTCAACAAAGGTTTCAGCAGTCATAGAGGAGGCACACTTCAATAGTGGTGATTTACTTTTACTGCACAAAGGTACAAATTCAGGTTTTGGCTGCAGTTCAGCTTTAATCATGAATATATAATATGTAAACATCTGATCCCAAAAAAGCAAAACATTAATATGAAAATTTAGTGATGTATCGTCCATGTGCCACTACAAGGATCATACTCCAATAATGTTATGTAAATATAGAAATACATGCAGATACAATAGATATAAAAATATACACAGATATATATATATATATATACACACACACACACATATACACACAGGTGAAACTCAAAAAATGAGAATATTGTGCAAAAGTTCATTGATTTCAGTGCAGCAACTTAAAAGGTGAAACTAATATATGAGATAGACTCATTACATGCAAAGCAAGATAGTTCAAGCCGTGATTTGTCATCATTGTGATGATTATGGCTTACAGCTCATGAAAACCCCAAATCCACAATCTCAGAAAATGAGAATATTGTGAAAAGGTGGAATATTCTCGGCTCAAAGTGTCCCACTCTAATCAGATAATTATCCATAACACCTGCAAAGGGTTCCTGAGCCTTTAAATGGTCTCTCAGTCTGGTTCAGTAGGAATCACAATCATGGGAAAGACTGCTGACCTGACACATCATTGACACCCTCCATAAGGAGGGAAAGCCTCAAAAGGGAATTGCAAAAGAAGTTGGATGTTCCCAAAGTGCTGTATCAAAGCACATTAATAGAAAGTTATGTGGAAGGGAAAAGTGTGGAAGAAAAAGGTGCACAAGCAGCAGGGATGACCGCAGCCTGGAGAGGATTGTCAGGAAAAGGCCATTCAAAAGTGTTGGGGACTTTCACAAGGAGTGGACTGAGGCTGGAGTCAGTGCATCAAGAGCCACCACACACAGACGGATCCTGGAAATGGGCTTCAAATGTCGTATTCCTCTTGTCAAGCCGCTCCTGAACAACAAACAACGTCAGAAGCGTCTTACCTGGGCTAAAGAAAAACAGACCTGGTCTGTTGCTCAGTGGTCCAAAGTCCTCTTTTCTGATGAGAGCAACTTTTGCATCTCATTTGGAAACCAAGGACCCCGAGTATGGAGGAAGAATGGAGAGGCCCAAGGACCCCGAGTATGGAGGAAGAATGGAGAGGCCCAAGGACCCCGAGTATGAAGGAAGAATGGAGAGGC